TATTATGTTGCTATGTCCTTTTTTATCTTAATCTCCTTTTTAAATTTTTTAATAAAAAATTAGAAAGCAAATAGAATTAATTTTAATAGGAAAAAAGTAAGAAAAAGACAGGGAAGAAAGAGAAAATGATAAAAATACAAAAAGTAATGATGAAAAAAAGGAAAAGGAAAATGAATCCAGAAAAGAAAATAATGAACAAACAAACAATAACAACAACAACAACAACAAAACCACCTCTTTGTGGAAGTGTTTGGATGAGGAAACCTTCTCTTCAGGACCCGTAGTATTTGAAACTTGCCCAGAAGAGAGGGGGGAAGAGTCATCAGTGGACCCTGTGTTTTCCCTCCTACTTAGTCAGCTGTTGTAGAAATGCTGGGCTTAAGCTGCCTTTTCTCCTGAACTGGGGCACTGGCAGTGGTATTTTTGTTTGCCTGAAGGCTATATTTACTCTAGAGACATTTAGCATTTGTGTCTGCTTGTGCACCCCCAGCCACTGTGATCCCCAGCTAGCATTAGGTGCCCTGGCTCCTCCAGAGGCACCCTGTTTGTGTGTCAAATGTAGAAAATGGCCAAGCAGCAACATATCCCAATATACTGGTAGGTGGGATAAACAAAAGCACCACGGATTTCTTGGCTGGAAGAGGGCAGCAAGGGGGAGAGAGCAATTTGAGGGGCTCAATCTCAGGCCTTTCAGACATAGAGCCCTCAGAAAGTCGCACATGAACCACCTGGCTCCTCACCATGGAGGACAGTGCAGCTGGGTACTGTGCCCTCTGCATCTGCACTTCCTGCTGCTGAAACTCAAGACTTCTGTCTGTACTTAGCATTCCCTCTGTATAATGACTCTGTGGCCATAGCCCTTTGGCAGAATATCCTCAGGCCCTTGAAGTGTGGTTGTTCTATGACTTCTGATCCCTGGAGTAGCCCAGTCTCTAACAATAACTCCTTTTCAAAATGGTGCGTTGTTATGGAGCTGTGGAGATAAAGCTAAGAAAGAGCTACTGTGAAGTTCTTCTGCCCAGCTAGCCTCCCATTGGAGAGGACACGTTTTCAGAGGAAAACCCCACTGGATTGACAGTCCAGGCATCATGGGGCTGTTCTGAGGCTAATGCTGCCAGCCAGTCTGCATCCCACCAATGGCAACTGGCAAACCCCACACTGCTTCCTTTGCTAGAGTATCCATGAATACAATCACCTTGGCACTGGGGTGGTGGCCCTCTCTCCTCACCTTGTTGTTGTGGCGTAAGGTGTCCCTGTACCCACTGGGAGCAGGATGAACTATATACTGGCCCATTCTTTTCTTTGTGTTGTACTGCTTTTCTGTGACTTTTAATTTTCCTTTTGCCTCCTGTCTTGGTTATTTTTCTCACATTGCTGAGACAAAATAACCAAAACAGAATTTGGTACTAGCAGGGGATCATTGCTGTGACTGCAGCTGAATATGTACAGTCTGAATAAGAGCCTTTGGGAATGGCTTGTGGGAAGAGTTTGGGAAGATTCAGAAGTGGTGCCTAAAAGAGTGCAGCTAAAGTGCCTTATACTGTTTCGTATGAGAGATTCTGGTCAGAGCTCAAAAGGCCAGAAGGCTGATTAGAAATCCTGCTGGTAAAGACCAGGCTTGGGAGGCTTCTGCTGGAAGGAAGGGCTTCACTGTTGTACTATAGATGATGTGTGTTATGGCTTGGCAAGAAGTTTGTCTGCATTTTGCTGATGTCCAGAGATTTTTGTCTGAAACTAAGATTAAGGGCAGTGGACTAATAAATCTGGCAAAAGAAATTTAAAGGCAGTCAAATGTTGAGGGAATGGCACACCTATTGTTGGAGGTCGTTAGTCAGATTTATGCCACAAATCAAGAGCAAAGAGCCCAGCAGGATGATTTAAAATGTTGTGAGTTTGGCAAAAAAAAAAATAAATAAATAAATAAAAAATCAAATAAAACTATAGATTGCAAAGTTAGAGCTAAGATCTCTATTATTGAGCAAAAACAAAAATTAAAAAATGGCCAGAGTGCATCACAAAAAGAGCAAGTCTCCACCTCTTTGCAGACTCAAAACTGCAAAAGTGAAAGTCTTTGCTTTGAGGAGAAAGTCACAGAGTGTCATGTTCCAAAATGGTGGCAACCACACTGTGTTCCAGAATGGCAGCTGCGGCTTCACCAGGTTCCAAAATGATGGCAGCATAAGGAATTTATTCCCCACAATCAGGTTCAAAATGCTTGGTCATCCAGTGCTGCAGTTGCTATTCACCACTTAAAGAACTGGTTGTTCCCAAATGTATGTGATTATAAATACAACTTCTATAAACATTTACGAGAACAGAAGATTTTATTTCTCATGGGTAAATACCCAGAAGTTAGATTATCAGATAAAAATGAGGATGTATTTTTAAGGAGCCATCAGTTTCTAAATCAGCAATACCATTTGCATCTCTACAAGCCGAATAGAAGAGTTAAATTGCTCTGCATCCTCATCAACAATTAATATTATTATTTTATTGTGTGGTGTGGTGGTGGTGGTGGTGGTGGTGGTGGTGGTGGTGGGTGTGTGTGTGTGTGTGTGTGTGTGTGTGTGTGTGTGTGTGTGTGTTGGGTGTGTGGCTAGCCATTCTGATAAACACCTAGTGGTGTTTCACTTTGGGTTTAGTTTGCATTTTTCTAGGGACTAATTATGTTGATGCCACTCTCTTAGGAGGGCAAAATGCAACTTTCCAAGCCAGATTCAGTGTCCTTGTCTTTGCCCATCTCAGGAAAGTTGTCATTCTTTTCTCATCTCTAGTGCCTACCTTCCACCTTTTGCTTTACCATGACTTTCAGTGACCCTTCTTGGCCAGGTGGACAGCTGCTTACCAACCCCACAGGGACTTCCCCCTGAACTGACTTTCCAGGTCCTCCACATGGGTCCTTCTCTAGGGATGGCCCGGGGTGCATCATGGTAATTGCTTTTCTCAGCAGAGTCCCTCATTCTTTGTCCTGAGGTCTCAGGGACATGGCCAGCAGATGATTGTACCACCTGGATGCAGTTCTGTGCCAAGGGGCCTGCTGTCACTTTCCTTCTCCACCTCGAATTGATCCCAAGAGGGAAAGTGGGCCATGAAGGTTTGACACTTTGTCCCTGTTTATGCACAACATCACGGCCTGGTGCACTTCTTCGGGGACCACTAAGGCCATTACCTCAGCCTCACTTCTAACTTCAGGTCAGGGACGAAAGTGTGTTTAAAGTTAGTAGATTCTAAGTACCCCCATGCATAAAGATGTAAAAATGTATCTCTTCTCTAACTCCTTCACCTCCCATACAATGAGGTCAAGTTGTACTCCGTGACACCTTTGTCTCAGAAATATATGTAAACATACACGTGTGAACTGTATTAGATTATTGTACAACATACATGCATTTCTGCCTTGAACTGCAGTCACGAAGGAAAAGCTATTGGCCTGTAGTACACAAAAAGCAAAGTACCCTCTAAATTTAAGGGTCTGTTTGTATGGAATATGGAGCCCAGAAACAATTCGGTAAGAAAGTAAGGGCTTAAACCATCCAAGAGCAAATGGAAAATGTCTAGCTCCACTCAGACAAAAAGGATGTTGCTGTGACATTATGTACAACTGCAGGGAGATGCCTCTGGGACTGCATGAGACTCCAAGAAAATTTGTCTTTCTTGGGTCTCTTTACTTTTCAGGCCCTGCTCACCTGATGTTTCCAGGAGAATTTTCCTGTGGAACACAGAGAATGCCCATTTGAGTGGTGGGGCTCTCTGAGAAAACAAGATGATGATCATCCCATTTGCGATTTGCTAAACATACTTATCTGAAACCACACTTTTCTGTTCTTATGTGCCCAGCAAGGAAGCAGGTGTAGGGGAGGCAAGAACCTCATGGGAGCAGTGAGTGGATCATGGACCTAGGACTCTTCATACAACTTTTACATTTCTTCTGGAGGACACACAGCAAGGCCAAATTTATGTCACAAATCAAGTGGGTTTGGGGCTGGCTGATTTTAGAGTTTTCTGGTGGTCAGAGAGAACACCCAAATAGGTTCCTATCTGGCAGAAGATTCTGGAGGAATACAGATTCTATTGTTTTTGAGGAATGATTTGCAGCCTGAATTCACCTACACCTCTATACCTTTGGGATCCAATTCAAGTCACAGTCTCTCTGGGGGCCTCAGGGTCCCTGGCTGTGCATGCTGAGACCCCAGCTTGCTGACGTGGTGCTGACAGTGAGCTGCAAGGGCAGGGAGGGTAGAGATGGAGTGAGGCAAAGCTGAAAGAAACACTGCCCTTTTCTTCCTGCTGTCCAGGTTGAAACCCAATCAGTTTCTTTGTTGGCTGTGTGTCAGAGTCCCCTGTGTATCCTTCCCTGATAATTCCATTCTCCTCCTGGCACTGTCCATTTGCTTGGAGTTTTGGTTAGTTGTTTTTGGTTATTGTAATTGGATAGGCATTATTTTTCAAGGCCAGTCAAGTTACTAACACAGAAACAAACAAACAACTAAAGTATCCCTTGTGGAGAGAACAACAGCAATAACAACACTGCCTTCCATAGAATTCTTTACGTTTCCTCCCACTGGTACTCTTTCAGGACAGCAGTGAACCCCAGTAAGCCATGAATGAGGAAGAATAGGAAATAAATAGAAATAAAACCTTGATATATTGCAGTATCACTGAATTATCTACCATTCAGCCTTGTGTTTTTATGTGTCTCAGTTGCCTTTTGCCTTTGGAGCTTGCTGGAATTTCCATGGAAACTTATAAGCGTCTTTCTATGGTGCATTGTTATTCTAAGTTTCTGTTCTCCTTTCCCAGCATGTGCAGCAGAAAGAATAGAAGCTGAATTTGTAGTTAGTCTATATCTCTTCTGGGATGGCATTTCTCAACATGTTCTTCCATTTCTCTGTTGTAGCTCAAATAAAATGTAGAAAGTCTGGGGGCTTCTTTTGGAGTATCTCCAAGACTACAGGTATTTCAGCCCAACCTGGTTTTGCATCTCTCTCCTTTCTTCCTAGGTAGCAGGTATCAAAGGGATATTCCTGGCAAACAAGAAGGTGGATGAGCAGGTGAAGACGTACATCACTTACAACAAAGGCAGGGACTGGCGCCTGCTGCAAGCTCCAGATGTGGACCTTCGGGGAAGCCCAGTACACTGCCTGCTGGTCAGTCACCCCGCTCATGGGGAGCTTGCAGGGCTGGTTACCAGGGGTGAGAGGTCAAGGGCTTTCTCCTACTGTGAGGGCCTGGAGATTTGGCTGTGGCTGAGTAGAAATTTTATCTAAGTCCTAAGGGGCATGGGTCTGCAGGCTAATACTGCTGCGTCAGTTGTGTGGAAGGCTCTGTTCAGTTGTACAGACCTTTATGGTGTACTTCAGCTCATAGTAAAATAAAGAAGTGTGTAAGAGAAGGAGCCTATACTTAAAAGTCCCAGGCAGAGCTTCAAAAGATGCTAACATGATAGTTTAATGAGTGCACGATCGATGTCAAGCAGACTCAGTCTTGAAAGCCCAAGGAAGGTCACATGGGCACTTCTACCTGGGAGAGTCAGGCAATCTATCAGTTTCCTCTGGTGCTTGCTATGAAGCATGTCAGGGTAGGGATGCAGCAGAGGAGGGGTCTGAAATAGCCTCCATGTAGGGAGGAGAAACAAGGACCATTAACACTCCCCAACCTCAGCACCTTCTTAATTAGGGCCAGGCCAGAACCCTCCTGACACCCAGAAGTGATTATGCTGCTCCAGAGCAAAATGGAAGCTTTTACCATGTTAAAAAATCAAGCACCTGTGTGTCATGTTGTAGACACTCTACTGAATGATGGGGACATGGTGAAGACTAGGGCCAACAGTGCCCTTACCCTTTTATGTACTTTTCAGACTGAGTTCAGATTTTTTTCTTTTTTTGCTGATGTTTTTCTTGTTTGTTTCCTTCAGTTTGTTTTGGGCACTAAGATCAGAGACAGATGGCTGCCTACCTCTAAAACCTCTGCATAGTATAATTTTTTCCCCTAAGATCTTAGCCATGCTTTAATCTTATTTTCTTAACCTGACTTTTTCTTTTCACTCTTACGTCCTCTTGTTTTTACTTTTTGTATAGGATATTTCTGTAAATCCTCAAGCCCTTTACAAATGCTCCTAGGGCATAGATAAATAAATAGGGGACCTAAACTTAGATGTGACAAATGATCACTTTACATAAAGTTCAAGTGACATCTCTTTAGATATAAGCAGACCCAATCCAGTTAAAAAAAAAAAAAAAGGCAAAAGATGTAGGCTGCTTCACCCGCCTTCCCCTCTGCACCCCTTCTGGTGGCTTTCAGAGCTGTAAGAGGCAGGCTTTGCTGACCATGATCAGATGTGGGAAGATGTAGGATGTCTTGGTCATCCTCTGAGAAAAGGCCAGGGAAGCTTTCTCCAAGCCATGAACCAGGCTAACAGAGACCTGGCCCTCCAGTAGGAGGGGTGCCAGCAAGGATGAGACTCAAAAAAATTTGATTGTAAGAGTCATGATCCAAAATACAGTTCGTGTTTGAATCTTTTTTGAAGGTTTGTGTAGTAGAAGGCACATTGCCCTTAACCCCCCTTGGGGCTACCCTTCACTCCAGACACACTCATCCCACCACGCCTGATACTTTCTAAAGCAGTTCTGCAGGTCCTCTTAGGTGAGTGTTTCTAGTCATACTGCCAAGGCTGCTTCAATGTCTTGACTCCATTCAAATCCTTTACCTTTCATGATCATTGTGACTTTGGATATGTGGCACCAAATCCAGTGAATGGGTGGATGTGGACATATTTGATGTTTTCACAAGCCTTCCTTTTTTGTTGAATGGCACTGGGCAAAGGCATTTACCATACTTTGGATCTAACTCATGAAGACACTCATGAGGGAGGACCTCTCAGAGAGTGGCAGGAACGTTGGGCCACGTGTGCTTGGAATGAGGGGGAGTTTTTTGAGCAGGACTGATGAAGATGTACCTTGTACTGTAATTTTTTAAATTAAACACTCATTTTAATCACCCCTTGTATTAGGAGTGAGGGCAGTGAAGATTATGGATGATACCTGAGATAACTTCTAAAGAGAAATCCTGGCTTTTCCAGGTGTAGAGAGAGCAGTGGGCAACGCTTCATCCAGGTCCTTGCCATTTCTGGAAGCAGAACACCTGGAAGCCTCATCTGTAGGGGACAGCGGTGAGTGAAAGTCAAGAATTTCCTGGAGTAAAATGACTTTCCTCTTCATTTCAGCCCTTCTGCTCCTTACACCTGCACTTGCAACTTCCTGAAAACCCATATTCTTCAGGAAGGATCTCTAGCAAGGAGACGGCCCCGGGACTGGTGGTGGCCACAGGTAGGGAAAACATCCCTGGGCTTCTTCCTCACTGAAGGTTTCCAGAATAGGTCTGTGTCCTATTTTTGCACCATGGGTTCATTTGGTCATTCCTTGAAAGCTACAGGAGCTCTCCCCAGAAAATGTGTGGGAGTTTTGGGTCCCCGGAGTCCCATCACAAGAATCTCAGATGCAACAAGCTCTAGACAATCATAACTTCTACGTTAATGCATCCTCCCCCTTACCACCACCACCCTGAGGATGTAGACTGGTTCTCTATGCTTAGCAAGAGGTGTTTGTCAAGCTAACTAGGTCTGATGATTTGTAATAGGCAATTCTCAGTCAGAGAAAACACGATGGATGAGGTCTCCCAGTTCTCCAAATAGAAGTTGTTGTAGTTTTCTCTTTACACTGAAGATACTTTACCCAAGAGTTTTGCCCAGAGTTGTTTTTAATCAGGAAGTCTCTGGTGCATGTAAAGCTTTGTTTACATGTGATTAAGCACTTGGCTGCAAGCCTGGGGGAAAGGTTGCCTTGGTGGAACTCCTGTCCACTGAGGGTCAGTCGGAAATGAAGATAAAGCAACTCTGAGATGAAATGCAGGTCTCTGGGGAATGTGCTCTGATTAGCATGCACTCGATTTGCATACACCTTTTCAGGAATACATTGCCAGCATAACACAAATAAAGCTTCTAACCTTAAAAGTTAGAGCTCTGGTGTGAGGCAGTTCCTTTTCTATTAAAAGCAGATAAATTCTTAGGAACGTTCGTTCTGAGGAGGCACATTCTGTTTTCCCTCATTAACCCAAAGCTCTGACTTTTGGGTTTCTGCTCTCTTTGCAAGGCTTTCTTCTCCAATCCTCTAACTGAGGAAACTAAAACACCATTAGTGACCAACTACTGTTATCAGATTGACAGTGTGACCCCCTGGCTTCTCAGCTGCTCTCCCGTGAGGATGGATGGATCCTTCACAGTTAACACTGTTGGCCCAGGATTCCGGAACAGCGACCTGTGAGATGGGCTCTGGTCTGTGTTCCTGGCTTGGGGAGTGGTCCTTAAACTCTGTAGTAGGTGACTTGGTTCTGACTCAGGGGCTGCCGCCCGTCTTCCAGGGCTACTGGAACCACAGGGGTGGAGTAGAGGCACCAGCGGTAGAAAGTGATCGGTAACAGAAGTTAGTAAAGTTGAATGCTGAGCAGGTACCCGGGCATTGTTCTATGTGGTTTAACCTCTCTGAACTTGAGTGCTTTCATTGGCAAACTGGGAGTAGCAGTATTACCATAATACTATTCCAGGATTAAATGGAGTAATGAATTTCAAATGCTTAGAATAGTACTCAGGACACACTGAATGCTTGCTACATGCTACCAGTCATCATTAATATCACAAAAGTTAGAACTGCTCTTCTTGTGTCAGGAGAATATTACTTGCTCATCTCCTTCAGTAGAACTCACAAATCACATGCATACTGTGAAACTTCAGAATCCTGTCTCCCTGCCTGCTAAGCTGTGCTCTTGCACTTACTGGACTTGTGAATGTTTTTTAGTTTTGGGCTTTTTTTTCTTCATCTTTAAAACAAAGATGTTTTCTGCCTTGTGAGGGTATTGTAAGAATTAGATATGGATGTGGTGCTGAGAGTTTATGGAGGCAACATTAGTGGTGGTTGTTATTACCCATGAGCTGTATATGTTTTTAGATTAGTTTTAATGTTGTCTTTTATGAATTAAAGTCTTTTATGAATGTAAGCATTACAGGTTTTTTTTTGTTAGTTTTTTTCATCCATCTGTATCAAAATTGAGTTTTTCTGTCCTCCTTGCAATGCCTGGACCTCCTTACCAGGTACCTGCCAGTGGGTGAATATAACACAGCTGATGAGGTCCTGATGCCTCTTCATGCTCAGCTTTTCCTTATCTGCTTCTCTGGTCTCCCCAGAGTGGTTTTGTCATGAAGAAAGTGATTATGAAGTCATCCAAGTATGCCTGGGGTGACTTACAGGCCAGTCTCTTGGAGACCATGCTTACACCCATCCCCCACTTGCCCTGGGGGACCACAGGCTCTCCCCCTCCTTTGCTCCCCCTTCCCATCTTGCCTTGAGATGCAGTCTCAGGATGAATGTGTGCCCTGGAATTCCTTTCCACTTCTTGTTGAGGACACCTCCAAGGGAAGTCTGAATTTTCATCTGCGGAGTTTGGCAATTGCTTTTAACAAGGAGAGCCACTGGGATCTTTAATACCCTGAACACTGGCTTCTGCCTAGTAGTAAAGACTTCACATATTCAGTGCTTACCATGGGCAAAGTACTCTCTCTGCTCTGATTGTGCAGTGACCCTGTGATACAGTCACAGCAATCTCAAGCCCCTTTAATTTTCCAAGATGTGAAGGGGGAATGGGAGTAGGCGTCAAGCCCAGGCTCACCCTTCTCACACCAGCAGAGTGCTCCATCCCATGACAATCCAGCCATGCCTGTCTCTCAAGCCCCTTAACAGGCTGCTCCATAGCTAACACCCCCCCCCCCCCCGCTTTGCTTCCTACAAACCTGAGTGTCCATACCTGGTCATCCTGTCCTTGATGATCTTCACCCACATGGCTGGCTGAACCCCATCTGTCCTTCCTCCATGAGCCCTTCCCACCCTGTGCAGGCAGCTTCTCTTTAGGCATCTGCGTGATAAGAGCAGTATCTCTAATCTGCAAAAACCACCACAGTCCCCCTTCCTCCAGCCTCTCTTAACCTGCAATAGCCACCACAGTTCTCACTTTCTCCAGCATCTCTAACTCATAAAAGCTACCTCAGTTCTCTCTCCCTCTAGCATTTCTAACCCACAAAAGCTACCACAGTTCTCAATTGCTCCAACATCTCTAACCCGCAAAAGCCACCAGTTCTCGTTTTCTCTTTTTCACAAGTGTGTGAGCAACACAGAAGGCTAGTGGTAGTGATGAGAAGAAATGGGACACAACCAAATTGTTGACGGCTGGGCCAAAGGGCCCTGGCCCCTCCATTCCTTACCAACACTAGCTGATGGGGAGGACGCCCCCTGTTCGCCTGCATTTTGCTGCCCTTCCTCTCTCCTGCCATAGCACGCATGCAACTACAGCTACACTTCTGTCTTCCACTCCACTCTGGCTGGTCCACTTTCATTTCACTTCATCTATCAGGTTCCTAACTCAAGTCTTCCTCCTCTCCACCCTCAGAAAAGCGGTTCCTATCAGAATGCCCTATCAGAATGGCTGCTTAGGGATTGAACATATTTAAAGATCAAATCATCCTGGATACATATTTTCTGTGCCTTCATCTGGGAACCAATTTTCTGGTTCAGTAGGATCTGGATCAGTAGGATAGCTCTTGGGGTGCCCTTCAGAAGATAAAAGATGTTTCTGAATGTAGACTTGATTGTGAGCATGGGGTTCCCACCACAATAAGCCTTCTAAACCCGTATAGGCAAGCTTTGAAAGAGAGGCTGATAATATTGGCAGATCCAATTGAGGGCAGCATAGCCCCTAAGGAGTCAAGTCAGACATGGCAACTATGTGACTGCAGGACAATGGTGCACTTGCCACACCACCCTTCCCCAGGGCTCTTGGTAGATGTTACAAAGGGCCCACCTCATGCTATTGTGCTGAGACTACATATGGCTTCCAGATCCATCCTAACATAATGCTTTCAGGCAGCCATCACAAAATCAAGTTGACATTCTCTGTTTCCTCCCGCTTTACATCTGTCTTACAAAACCTGTGTCTGGAGGGTCGAATTTCGAATTCCAAACAGATCTCCCAAGAGCTGCTGCTCCTCGAGCCTCTCCCTGCTCCTCTCATGCCTGCCTCCTGTGCCCTGAGCCCTGGGGTTATTTTTGGAAACCCAAGTGTCAAAACAAACTGGTTAGGCGTGTGCACTCTGATGCTGATGTGAGCTTGACAAGCTGTAGCCTGGCTCTCATTTCTCGTTTTGAAACATTAAATGTCAGGCACTCAATTAACATTTTCATTATTGCATTTTTATTGTGCCCTTATTCAGGCTACAGATGTGTGGGAGCTAACATTCACTTCCTGCTGTTTTTTTAAAGAAAAAATATCTACCCATATGTGCGATTTCCATGTTTGGGGTACCTTCCTGGTTTTCACTATGTCCCCAAAGGCACATCACCATTGGAGCAGCATTCTGTCATTTATTTCCTTACTCATCTATCCCACAGTCACATGTTAAGCGTTATCTACTGTTTGGGGCTCTGAGACTGGAATTGTCCACTGAGGAAACTAGGACAGTATTGTCAGAATAGAAAATCTTGACAAATTTCTTTTTAACGAACATGATTACAAGGTGATGCAGTACAAGCAGGGAAAAGAAGAGAAGAGAATGTATAGGGTTAGAAGCAGTAACTGTGGCTGGTCTAGCCATAACCTAGGCACCTGCTTTGCCTATGCCTGGTGACCCTGGTATGCTAAGTATGGTTATATTATTTGTCTCAATCTGTAATTGAGGTTATGTATTCTTTTGCTCTAGGCTGCTCAACTTCCTGCTACTCAAAAGATATTCTACCAGATTGAAAACACACATTAAACACACACACACACACACACACACACACACACACACACACACACCCCTCTGTAGATATGCACATCCATGCACATTTACACATCAGTTTTGGGGGGCTAAAATTATACCTAAAGAGTATACTTTCTCCACTTATGCCTATCCCTTCACTTGTTCCCATTTTCCTAAGACATCTGTCAGAAGAAAATTTGCATATGGTACATGTCAGAAGAAATTTACAGTAGCATTGGTATACAGAATGAATAATTCAGGAAACTCACCCTAGACGATATTCATTCATTGAGTTTTCCTCTTTAAAGATGTCTTCCTATCACACTATTTATTTGTCTTCCCGCTGGGCTTTTGATATGACACCAAGAAAACGCTGCACAAATCACCTGTAAGCATAGCTTCCAACATCTCTATCTTTGATACCCATTCCCAAACCTGAGCAGACTGACTCTGTATACTGCTTGACAATTTCAAATGATCTGATTATGTTGCAGGCAACATTGGTCCGGAGCTCTCCTATACTGACATTAGTGTGTTCATCTCCTCTGATGGCGGGAACACATGGAGACAGGTAACTGGGATGATGCTGAATGAGGGAAGAAGCAGAGGTGTTCAGAGGAAATTCTGTCAATATCCCCTCTCCCTGTGGATTCTTAGGCCGCTGTGACTCTGTAGTCAAAAACTTTGAAGCAGCTGCTCACTCTGATTAATCTGGCTGGAGGTTTAGAAGGGCAATAGGGCAAGATGGGAAGAACAACATAGAGAATAAGAAGGAGTGAAAGTTTGCCAGCTGTTTCATTTCTTCCTGCAGCTACATGTGGAACAGCTGCCAGATGTTAAATTCCATTCTGGTTGCTGGGGATGTAACGGATAAAACATTGTCTGTCATGAATGTTCCAGAGGATCCTGGCAAGCAGACCTCTTCACCTTTCTGAATCTGTTTTCTTTATCTGAAGCATGAAGGGATTAGAATACTAAAACAGACAGTCTGTGGAAGTTGATGATTAAGCCTTAGGTAGACCCAGCCTCCAAGATAAGACAGCTTAACAGATACATGAGTTCACTGAGGATCGATTCAGTTTTACAAACAGCAGCGATGTCTAATAGAACTCAGTGATGATGGAAACGTTCCCTATCTATGCTGTTACACAACCTGCCAAGCATGTGATACAGGCCTAGTGGGACAGAGGAACTGAGCTTTTCATTTGTTTCAGGTAAATTACATTTAAATCATTGCACGTGGCTATTATATGGGGCAGCACCCATATTTAATTTTGGGAGTTCCTTTTCCCAAGGAGCTCAAAATTAAATAGAGGGAAGATGCTGACAAATAATAGTTTAGGGTTTATTTCATGCCATTATGAGTATGGACTTAAAAGAGTTGATTCTACTAAGGAAATTGGGAGAGCCTACACAAGAGGTGGTGGCATTTTGGTAATTCTTAAAGGTGACGAAATAAGGGATCACTGCATGCTTTGATAGTAAAGGTGAAGTCACCATTGTTGGACCAGTTTAGGCCTGAAGGCTGTAGAGAGGGTTGGCACCCTCATTAACGGTGTCACCATCACTGTCACCATTATCACCGCTACCATGATTTTTAAAATATTATCAAGCACCTAGCTATTTTAAGTACTATGTGTCATAGAAGAATATGTCAAGTTTCCTACTTCCAAGACCATAGTCGGCTGGGTAGGGAGCAGACACATAAATAAGATTATACCTTCAAAATGGGAGATTCTGTTGTGAGTACAAAGGGTAGGAAAAAAAATGTTATGCAAATTCACCAAATTCTTCTGGTATGAAATTACCAACAGACAGGTCAGTATCTATCCACCTCACCAAATAGCTCACCTGGCCAAGTGACCACTGAGCCATCATTTCCTGGTGCCATCACTACTTTGATGTTTTCCCCCTTTTCTCAAATAGCCAAGGCTTCTACTTTTCACTACAGTGGTGGACAGGGTAAGACTTATCAGTGGGCAGATTAACGGCCTCAAGAGGAAATTGGGAGGCTGCCTTCCTCAGCCCTCCAAGCACCAAGGCTCTTCCTATATCCTTCATCCTCAGGCTTCTTTCCTGCACCCGTTAAGTGGCTTATCATAGAGCTTCCCAATAAGCTCTGGAGAGACAAACCTAACTGAATTATCCTCTGCCCATTAAGATTTCACATTAATAGTGCTGGAGATTTAGCTCAGCGGCATAAGAACCTGCCTTGCAAGCAGACGATCCTGAGTTCAATCCCTGGTACCGATTAAAGAAAAAAAAAAGATTTCACATTAATAAAACACTTATCTTTCCTAACATGGTAAATATGAAGGTTGAAAGTAGTAAGGTTCCTCTACCACTTTTCCGTAGAGATCACTGATGCACATATGAGGCGGACCCTTTCTGCCTCCTCACTCCCTCTTTGAATTAACCTCCCTCCCTCTCCCCTTTCCAGCCCTCTTCACCCAATCTACCATCCCAACTTTTTAATCTAGACTATGGGAGCCCCTATCAGTGGCTAACTGCTGGAGGAACTATTTAAGCTTACTTTTCTCTAAAAGCACTGAAATTCAGGTTAGTTCTTCACTGAAGAAGTGTTTTTCCTGCTTCATATTAGTCATAGATGATATAAGAATTGATCTGGGTAGCATTAGGTCTAACCTGCTCTTAGTTAAGAGCTGTGTATCATAGTTGGTATTTAGGAAATGTCCATAATAGATGGGTGAGTGGATCACTGTGTGAGTGAATGGCTGAGTGGGTGGATGGATAGCTTTTGGATAAAATAGTTGAATCAAATATGAGTAACTTTACTTCCCTGAAAGTGCCATTGTCATAGTTACTTTCTTTTCATTGTTGGAACAAAATATACCAACAATTTAAGGAAGAAAAAATTTATTTTGGCTCACAGTTTGTAGAGATTTCAATCCTTAGTTGTGTGGCTCCAAGGCAGGTTATGGAAGAGGGTTCTGGCAGAGGAAAAACAGTCCATGGCATGGTAGGTGGGAGGTGGAGAGAGCGGAAGAGTGGACTGACCCAATGATGAGTATCACACTGCCATGATCGAGTCACTACTCAAATGTCAGCCCTATGAGCTGATGTGGATTTGGGGGCCATCTAGACATACACCAGAACAGCTGGTTGAATAGAGTATGTGTTTGTAGACATGGAAATCTTCATTCAACTTTCAGGGCAACTTAGAAACTAGTGGCTTAGCATAAGTACTCAGTTACCATAGAATCTAAGGAAATTGTCTCTTAAGATCCTGGGTAAATTTTAATAAATCCTCTGAGACATAGAACATTTATTAAATTAGCAAATATCTGAATAGAGCAGAGGAAGGGAGGGCTGAGTAACTTTCTAAGATGAAAAGATGAGGTAAGATTCTTTGAAATCACAGTTTTCCTCAGGTTATCTAGTTGAATGTGCATCTATTGCCTTACCTGGACACACCACTCTGGTTCACATTACTGGGCAAATGAGCCTTAAAAATGTCATTTGAGTGGCTTAAGCAGAGTTATGTGTTCTCTCTGATCCTAGTTTCTCATCAATCATCCATCAACTAGAGATAATCTTTACCAAACTACTAGGGTTATTGAAAGGCTTAGATTCTAGATGAAGGAATATATATGAAAGACGTGGACTGCTAACACTATGCAAATGTAAGGCATTGCTATGATTGTTGTTGTTGTTGTTGTTGTTCCAGATCTTTGATGAAGAGTACAATGTCTGGTTCCTAGACTGGGGTGGTGCCCTCGTAGCCATGAAACACACGCCTCTGCCAATAAGGCATTTGTGGTAAGGAGAGCTCCCTGCCATCCCTAGCTTATTGACAAGTAGCTTGTTAGTGGAGAGGGTGGGGTGAGTTATTCTGCATGATTCTTCTTCTTGCCCATTCATGCCCATTTCTTCACCCTTCTATTCATCAGTCCTGCTTAATATCCGTATCCGTACTCTGCCTAGTTCATAAGAGTCCAGAGCAGGTCATGTAACTCAGGTTGGGGCATGTGATGAGTGGGATAGGGTGATAGAAATGGGTGTTCCAATGAGACAGGAAAGGCCTGTGAGTTCAAATAGCCAAGATTAGGATCCAAACTATTAAATGGAGATTACTACAATGTATGGTTACATTCACCTACCAGATTATTAGTTCAGTTCTGGGTAAGTTGAACTTGTGATTTCCATGAATATTTTATCAGAGATGACCATTAATTATCAGATGCTTTTATCTGAAGATCAGGGGAAATGTCAGAGATGACACTGTAGGTTTTTATCAGTAGCCAGTAGGTACTAGGGGTTAGTTAAAAACACAACCATGGGCTCAGTGCCTTGAGAGATTGGTATACTAAGGAGAATTGGGACACCTATTAGACTTTGTTATCACCCATTTAAAATGATGTGGAAATACAATCATGTTAAATGCTTTACGCAAGGCTATATACCCACTGCTGAGCAAAACCAAGCTTATCTCTGTTATAAGAGCATCTGTATTTTAACAGTTTTAACAGTTAATATTCCTGATACCATGAGGCGCACTAAGAGAGCGATGGTGTGGTCTCTCCCTTCTGGAGCGCATAGTCAAAATAAGGGGTCTAGATGGTTTCTTCATTGATCATTAGGAATCACAGCACTGTCTGCTGCATGGTTCCAGATGTGCCTCTCACTGGAAAAGGGTCTGTGTGCAGCACATGCCCCAAGGCCTGCTCCTTGAAGAAAGGATGCCAGGCGTTGCAGGATTGGTGGGAAACAAGCCAGGAAAAGACGGACCAAAGCCTGGAATTTAGAGAACTTAGGCAGAATGTATTCAAAAGTCTGTATTGGATTAAAGCCGAACCATGAATATGTAAGTGGAGGCAGGACTGTGAGGAGCTCAGTTTGAGCTGGAAAGTAATTTCCTCCATTGTCACAGTCTGTCTGTCTCTGCGGGAGAAGTGCTGTCTACTAATGACTGGGTAGGACTTGGACTGTGAGAGGACAGAGCTGGTCTTAGTTGCTTTTCTCATTGTTGAAACAAAATACCCAACACCCAAAGGTAAAGGAGGGAAGGTTTGTTTCAGCTCAATTTGTAGAGGTTTCAGTCCACAGTCAGCTGGCTCCAAGGGAGGGTGGCATAGTAGAGGCGCATTGCAGGGAACAGTGGATGGGATGCCAAGCCAAAGGCAGTGAGCAGCAAACTGCAAGCCTGCCTGCCCCTTTTACCCTGTCCACGCTAAAACTCTCTTGGGTGGTGCCACCCACACTCAGGGTAGGGCTTCTGTTTCCAGTGCATCTATCTGGGCACTAGAACTGTGCCAGTTCCCATCAGCAGACTAACTCAGTATCACACACTCTTAATCCTAGTAATCAGACCCTTAATCCACATTGGCACACCCCAGGTCCACCCACCTCTGCACAGCCCTACCTTTGACCCCATAGGTCTTTGGTCTTTGGAGGGACGTCTAGATATACCCCACACAGTCTGGAACACTTTTTTTTTTTTTTTTTTAATAACCAGGAAAGATTGTTTTTCCTGGCCTTCTTCCTGATCTAAGGAACCTCCAAGTATATCTCGAGAATTTATACTCTATAGACAGAGAGAGAGGGCTGGTGTTTTCCCCTTGGTCCTTGGAGAAATAGGTAGCAGCCTCACCTTGCATTTGACCTCCAACTAAAGTCTTTTTTCCTTGCTTATGGTAAAGGTCCAGTAGTTATTTAGTTGTTCATTTCTCCGGGGAACTTACTTTTGCTGAGGGAAGGCAGAGTTCGTTGCTATTTCTTTCAGTGTAGAAAGGAGAGTTACTCTGCAGTGGATGGGGCCCCTAGTGCTGAAGAACTAGGAGCTCTGGGTTTTGGAGAGCCTCTGTACCCTTACAGCTAGCTGTTTGGTGTGACCTGCAGTGGATTCTTGCCAGAGCCCTGCTCACTTCCTGTCTGAAAGCACCCAAGTTGGTAAATGTTTCAGTATTCACATAGGGATACATAAGGAAGATTGAATCACACCCCCAAAGACATCTTTTTTCATGCTAAAAACTGTGATTAACAATAATGCTGTATCACATATCTCAAAGAGAAGAATTGAGTGTACTCATAAATATATGATTTAAGTTTAAAGGTACACTCATTTTCTTAAGTTCATCACCCAGTATTTAGCTGAATCAAAACATCACATTGTATCTCATGAATTATGTGCCCATAAAAATGCAATTTAATTTTTAAAACATAAAAATATTTCTAAAACAGAGAAAAAAATGACACCCCACTGAATTTACTTTCATAAAAATGATAATACTGTTTAGTCCATCTTAGAAAATATTTAGGATTCTTTTTCAAGCTATGCTTGTATGACAGTATTATCTCCTTTTAAATGATTTTGTCATTGCTATTTGTTGTAAAAAAAATTTTTTTTTTGTGCCAGGAATTGAACTCAGCACCTTGAGCTTTGCCAGATAGGCTGTTATTTTGCTGAGCTATATCCTTGGCCATTTGTTGTAAATTATAGGCTTGAACAGAGATGACAATTCATGTTCACTTGTCTATCTATTCATTCCAAGAATGCTCCCTGTAAATGGTTAAATGCCAACTACTAAGTATGTGTTTGAAACAGCGACAAATAACTCATTCATAAATTCTCTTTTGTACTTTTTACTTCTCTTTCAAAGCCTATGTGAGTATTTGGTTAGGGCTTGGCCAAATCATTATTGTCTTAGTTACTCTTTACTGGCTCCTGAGACAAAATACCTGACACCCAAAGTTAGGGAAGGAAAGATTTATTTCTTACAGTTATTAGAGGTTTCAGTCCACACTAGGTTGGCTCCAAGGCAGCATGAGGTGGCAGGGCTGCCATTCATAGCCGCTGCAAATAGCAAGGTGCAAACTGGAAAGAGAGAGAGAGCCGCCTTCTTCCACCATTACGTCATGTACTAGCTCCACACCTAGGCACATGTAGCACTCATACCACCAAAATGAGCACTAGACAACAAACCAATCACAAACACTAGATTTGATGGAGTCCATAATTCATGAGGCTTGGGGGCCACTGACATAAACCATGGCAATTATCATTAATGTTTTCTTATGAAGTGGTTCACTGATTTAGACTCCTGCTTATCAGATACAGGCTCCTGAAACTCATCAGTTTCTTTATCCCTAGTAGTTCTAATTAAATCACAATCTCCAAGGTAAACAAATAACTTGCTTTAAGAGGAAGAAAGGTTAAGTAATCAGTTCAGTGTTATTTTCTGTTGTAGATCTCAGACTCCTTTTTTGTATATATATATATATATATATATATATATATATATATATATATATTTGTACAGGAAAAACATGCAAGTTTACCCATTCTCATACAAGGGTACAGTGGCTTTCACATTTAAATAATAGCTACATTGCATTTCAGAGGAAATATGAGTCATAATTGAAAAGCTGGAAGAAGCTTTAGCTGGACTAACAAGGCATGCTCTTTCCTACAAATTGAAATGATAGGTAGCTTGATAGGCATAGAGTCAAAACAGCATACAAATGAACCCATCCATTTGTGACTGTGTATCTGTGGTTGCGTAGAGATTAAAACCGAAGTGTTATTGCAGGTAAACCTCTCATCCAGTATTACCTTTGAACCTTAGCAGCAATTAGAGGCCAATGCACAATGGAGCCCCACCAAATGCAGTGCTCCCATGAAAACTCACAATAGACATAGTGACTCCTGCACTGGTAGACCGCAGTGTGATTCTGCTCAGCTTTGACAAACTGCCGGTGTCTCCTTTCAACAGATGTTCTCAGAAATAAAGGAAAGTATCCCCTGGCATTTTGTGCTCCTTTGTTCCTCTGTAAATGGTGTCGACCTAGCATTTGTTTTGTTTCTGAGAAACATTCCTGCAAAAACAATACTTTGAACTGACAGCGCTTCTGAGAAGGGAGAGTGTGTGCTGTTTTGAAAAACTTCCAGGTGACTGAAATCCTAGCACATGGATTTGTATTATAATGAAAAGGAGCAATGCACCTCAGCAGAGGAAGGGATGCTGGTTTGCCATGGACATTCTATTTCCAAACCAGAGACTTGTGAGAAGGACTCTGGTTGTTCTTGGAATATTCTTTTAGTTTTTTTAATCTCAATATCATGAACCCATAGACTTGATTAGTTCTCATGACATTAACTTGTGATTGACAATAATGCCAATTGTCTTGTGGGTTAAACTTGTAACTTAATCAGTTAATCTTTCTTTTTTCATGTGTAGAGCCTTTCTTTTCTATTGAGCATTCTTCTTTAAATTGGCCATACCTTATAAATCACTTTCCAATCTCCACCCCTAGTTATACTCACAAATCTGGATCCAGCCATTCAAAACTCTTAGTAGCAATGTTGTAATGTGGGAATCCAAAAAGCATTTAAATCTCAACATAAACCAAGGAAGAAACAAGGAGATAAAAAGGCTTTGCTTCTCCTGCCATTTCCCATTTCCCTTTCTGAATTGCTCAAACCCCCATTGGTATCTCTCAACATTTGTTCCTTTCGTTTATACAACCTGTGGATGTTTCATCATCAAATCCTATTGACTTCACTTCTGGAAATATCTTATATCTCTCCATCTCTTTCTTCCTCCACCACTATAACCTTCACCCAAGCTCCATTTTGTACTTCATGTACCCCCAAACCATCTGAGTCCTTTACGATCTGGCTTCTGCCTTCTGTTCTGATCCCATCTCCTGCTAATTTCCTTTCCTTGAAAATACACCACTGACTATCTTTCTGTCCTTTCTGTAGAGCAGCTTCATTTCATGTGAACTCTTTCCTCTGCAATAGCTCCACCTCTAGATCCTTGCCTATGCAGTATCTTATTATCATTCGGTCTCAATTTAAATGTCACACTTCAGGCAGGGCTTTCTTAAATTGTTACTATGAAGTAGTCATGTGGTCATTAGCAAATCAGTTTAATTTCCATGGCTCTTACATCTAATTCTTATGGTTCTGTCAATTTATTTGCATGTCATTTGTGCCCTTAAACTAGGATGTAAGTTCCATAGCAGTGAGGGACTCCCCTCCCTTCTTTGCTCTGTCCTTAGAACTGGAGCCACCGCTGCTGCCTCTGGTATATAGTGGCACATAGCTAGTGATTAATGAAGTTTATTTTCTTTTTATTCCGTAGTTCTGTTTTGCTACTATTTGAGGTCAATCAGAAGTTTACTCCTGTCTCCCTGAGTATTGTAATCCTACTGATTTCAATTTTACTTATCGATGTAATGAGGAATTCCTAGTTCCTTAGTCTTGGATATTAATGAGCTATTGATCTGAGGAGGAGAATATGGGTCTTTTGAGGATGCCATTCAATATAGTTACCTCAGAAAATTGTAAAAAGTTCTAGAAATCAAAAAGAATACTCTCAGGAACACCAGGCCCTCTGTACCCAACCAAAAGAATAAGATTTCTGTTTCAATTTTGGAGATTCCTTAGGGAGTTTTGAAATAGTCAAGTGTTACAAATTACTGATATGAGAAAATCACCCCATGGAACAGTTCTGGGCCTGAGAGTTGTCCAGTGACAGCAGGCGAGGGTCACAGCAGTCAGTCCTCACTGTGGATCTGGAGATGTGTATTGTTTATGTCACGCCCAGACTCAAATTCTGTAAGCCACCTTCCCTACCTGGACTTCAGCATTTCTCATCCATCCTTTAGCCATTTGCTATTCTTTCCTCTGACCTATGCAGGAGGCCCCTCCTTTCAGCTGGACTCACTTGAGTCAGCATGCTCTTGCTCTTCTGCAATTTCTTGCCCCATCTGGGCTCATCCTTACCCGAGAGTATTTATCTTGACCCTGGAAGGCTGTGATGGGCCCTTGTTGCATGCCCTATGGCATCCTCTTCTCAGTGTGTGGCACGCACATGCCTACACGATGCCCTGCAGATACCGACAGTGAGAGACAGACTCCTTTCATGGAATGCTGGCAACATGAACTACAACTTGCCCTGCTAGTGCCAGTAACTGATAAAGCTAAAACTGGCAAGGAAATTCTGAGAAGTAGATGAGAGAGAGGCCTTAAACTCACTTTGACTTCTGTCTATCAAGACAAAAGCAATTTATACAAAGTCTACAGGAAAAAATAAACTAAAAGCTTATCTTCTGTACTTAGCAGAAGTCAAGTAATTAGTACCCGGAGCAGACTTTGAGACAGTTGGGACTTCTCTGGGAGCCACTGGGCCACACAGCCACCAAGATTAAGTTCATTCTCAATCTGCCTTCCTTTTTACTTCTTTCAATCATGCCTTCAACTCACTTCAATGAAAAGTGATTCGTATGGTCTCAACTTTCTCAGGATTTACTTTGATTATTAAACCTCAACCTTTTTTTAAAAATGTAAGTGACCAAGTCCTTGAAATTCAAAACAGATTCTGACCTTTTAGCTTTTGTAGTGGGTTGTCTGCTTTTCCTTTATAGATATGAATATGGTAAACTACAAATACAGAAATTGTCTGAGACTGGTTAGTCTAGTGGAAGAGGGGTTGACTCTGTTATTGTTTCAAATCTATGTATTAGAAGGGCCAGGGACATAGCTCAGTGGCACAGCCCCTGCCTGGCAAGTGCAAGGTCCTGAGTAGGATTCCTGGCACAAAAAACTACCTGTGTATTAGGAATGAGTAGATAAGACAAAGAAGAACCCAGAGAAACAGACCTGCCAGGGAGCAGACAGTGGGCCTAGCATGTTGGCCCTTAATAGGAAACAGACTCCTACTTCCATTTCTTGATCATACTCGAATGGGTCAAAACAGGGCTCTTCTTTTCTTTTGTCACACGCTCATTCATTGACACTTACATTGCATCAACTCTAAGCCACGTGTTCTGCTACATATGAGGAATATAAAAATGGATGATACGGTTCTTGACCTCCAGGTTGTCAATTTAGTGTAAGTCAGACAAGTTTCTAAAAATGTATATGTGCCATAAAGGAAGAAACATCCCAATAAAACACATTTGTGGGGCTAAGGGGTCACTCTGTGAGTAAGACATTTGTGCTTCCTGAGCTCAGAGTGCATCAGCCCAAACAGGGAATTCAGAACCAGCTACAGGTCATTGCTCAGAGCAGAGGAGGCCTGGGAGAGGGAGTTCAGACCCAAAACTGTGGAGATAGGGGAGCGTGGATGATCAGAAAGGGCAATAAGGAGCACAGAAGATGGAGAGGCCAAAGCTGTCTTAGGAGAGAATTGGGGTCCGAAATAGTTTCCCAGCAGAAGTGGTCTTTGTGCTGCGTCTCCTGGGTGAGTCAAGGGTCGCAGACTAGCATGGTGCAATCAAGAGAGGAAAAAGCGCATGCCCAGAATTTCTCGCAAACCCTCCACTACCAGCAGCCTTTACAGAGGAGTGGGTTCTGCACCCGAGGCAAACCTTCCCCTTAAGATTGGTCAAAAGGTGGGGCAGAGCTGCCCAGAATATCTCAGCCACTCAAATAGTTATTCCTTGAAACCCCTTAAAGTGCATTGGTGAGGGGAAATCATTCCCACATCCATCCTGAATAAGTAGTAAATTGCTTTCCTTTAAAAGTTTGATCTGAAAGACACACAACCCCCTTCCCATAGGGTGCATGCCATGCTACTCAATTTATCTGTGTCAGAAACTCCAAGGGCTGAATTGATTGTGCTGTAAATTGAACCTCAGGTTTCATTCTGCGTACTTGAAACGTGACACTCCATCCACTAAGCCCTCCTGCTCTGGCTGTTTTTCTCTTCTAATGTGTTGAAATATTTCTCCAGTTCTGGCACTGTGTCTGCCTGGGCCAGGAAATGCAGTTTTGATCCAGTCTCATAATAATACAGGGAGATGAGGAAGATTAATACCTATTGATAATCCAGACTGCCAGGGAGAAAGTGACTGAGGGAACTTTAATAAGCTGAGGACTGGTCGCCTGAAGCTGTGACTTTATTTTCAGCTGACTCTTTCATGTGCTTCTCCCCACCCCAGGGTGAGCTTCGACGAGGGCCACTCCTGGGACAAGTATGGCTTCACTCTGCTTCCGCTCTTTGTGGACGGGGCTCTGGTGGAGGCTGGTGTGGACACCCACATCATGACGTGAGTACTCCGTTTGCTGAGATATAAAGGAGATCAGAGGTCCCCATTCTACTTCCATGTGAGCCTCAGAATTTTCCTGGGGTACCCTATACTTAAGCATTTTTATCTCTGGGCCACGGTTTGCTCAGTCATATAGTGGAAATATTTACACTTGTTTCCACCAATGCCAAAAACAAAAAAATAAAATAAAAAACCTACTGACAGGATTAGAGAGCTAGGCTCCTGATGGGACCTTTGTGATTTGTAATGGAATTTGAAATCTGAGACCATATTCCCATTTGTCCAAACTCAAGCAGACAGGAGGTTAAGTTATTAGATTTATTTGCTTTGCTCCCCCTAGAACAATCTAGTAAGAGGCAAGGGGTAGGAGGCCAAGAGAATACAACAGCTAATATACCAAAATCAGGGACTGCTTCAAGGGACACTTCCATGGTCAGTGTCTTCTACATGGGTGCATGTGAACACACACACACACACACACACACACACACACACACACACACACACGCATGCACACACACACACACACACACACACACACACACACAGTTGTTGTACCACTTCAGATTAATTTATTATAGAAGTTTTCATCACTTGTTTGCAATGAAGCCAGATAATGGAGATATAGATTTTAAAACTATGAAAAAAACTCAAAATGCTTTCCAAATATTAATGAAAGCAATGGCAATAGTAGTGTTTATTTGTGAGTATTTTATAAAATTATATGAAATTTTAGTTCTTTTAAATTGATTACTGGTATGTACATGTATGTGCGTGTGTATGGAGTAGGCCGTGGTCATCTTCCACCAGCCAGTCAGTTTTCTGTCACTATAAAGCATATCTGAGACAATGCACTGAAAAGGAGAGCAGGTTTCTTTCAGGTCATGGTTTGAGAAGCTGAAGTCTGTGGTCAGTTGGCCCTGGTGGCTGGCCTGTGGGCAGGTAGGGCATCATGATAAAATACGTGGTGGAGGGCACTGCTTACCTCATGGCAACCAGGAAGGAAAGAGGGAAAGGGAAGCGCCTGGTGACCTAACTTCCTTCCACTAGCTCCACTGCTTTTTAAGGTTCCCCCGCCTCCCATTTGTTCCAAGCTGAGAACCAGCCTTCAACACATGTGCCTTTGGGTATATTCTGGTTCCAAATTACAGCAGCACAGAGCGCTCAGAGCATGTGTCTGTGTTTGGTAGCATTGTGTAGTCTGCTGACTCTGAAGGACCCTGCTCTGCTTTGAACTTTCGTGCTAATGCATTTCTGTGTACTTAAAGTTAGTCTTTGCCAAGTAATGATTTTGTGGAGGTACCAAATATAGGGGCGAAAGCAAGGTTTATGCTCTGTCATGTTTACAGGGTGATCACTTTTGAAGAATACTTTCCAAATGCCACTATGCAGTGTTGACCAATCCCATCATTCAGCCTCAGCCTACATAGCCCCCATGCATGCATATCCAGTCTCATGGGGAGAGCAGTGGCTACTCCTTTGCAGTTTATGAGTGAAAGAAGAACCCAGCTGATGGGTACTGGAGACAGCAGGAACTGAAGAAAAAATAAAACACATTCACACTTGGCCCCAGGCCTGTGCCTCTGGACTTCCTGTCCAGCTGCTCAGCCTCTGGACCTCCATTTCTTTATTTGTAAAACCAATTCTCTTTCTACTTTTTTTCATCTTTTTTTTTTTAATTTTTATTTTTTTTGGTACCAGGGATCAAACTCACGACCTCACGCTTGCCAGACAGGTGCTTGTACCACTGAGCTAAATCCCCGGGCCTCTTTCTACTTTTTTACTAAAATGTTGAGATCCTAAAAAATCTTACCCTTTTAAGGAAATTCGGCTAAATCTCTACAAAGCAGGGCCTCATAGTTATAAGATTTGTACAGGGCCTTACAAAAAAGTACAGGTACCACCTGCTCAGAATACACTATTTGGTAGACTGCAGATGACATCTTTTTTTAAAAAAAATTTAACACAAAGTACATTTATTAGAAAAGAAGAAAGTTATGAAATATCCGCATATATTTCCTTAAGAAATTAAAAATAACACAGAAGAAAACCAAAAACGAATAGAAGAAAATCATAAAGCTCAGAAAATATAACCCCTTATCAAATGGCTACCATCATTTTTCATAAAGATTAACATTTTGATCCTCATGTTTCTGCAGAAATACAGAAAGACTCAGAATAGGAACAAAATTAGAGCTGCAACCCTCCCCAAACCCATGACTTCTCACAAAGTTACATCAGTCATGAGAAAACAGCACTGATATCAAGATAGAAAAACCACCAAGGTACCAATATGAAGTCCCAAAATAGATACCCACATGACAAACAATTGATTTCTGGCAAAGATGCAAAAGCAATTAAATAGAGAAAGGATTGTACCCTCAATAAATATACTGGAACACCTGGATATCCACATGCAAAAAAACCCCAACCAAATAGCACATTAAAAATTTCTTAAGACATTCAAAAGTCAACTCAAAATGGCTCACAGTGAGTTAAAGTGAAGGCAGGTGTGACCTGAGTTGTTGTTTTGGCTAAGGTCATTTTCTCTGGGACAAAATACATGTTTTTTCTTTCAGCTTGTCACACTAGTGAAGCAATACAATGTTTATACATGCATGACAAATTTATTTCATTAATAATTATGTTCACAAAACACAACTATTTACCTATAAAAAATGTCCAGTTATCATTCTTTATGGCTGGGAATGCCACATCCTTTTTATCCATTTCTTAATCAGTGGGCATTTAGGTTGTTTCCAAGATCTGACTGTTATAAACTGTGCTGCTGTAAGCATGGGTGCACATATATCACTGGTATGATGTTTTTAATTCTTTTGGGAAGATACCCAGAAGGGGAATAGCTGGGTCAAATGGAACCTCCAGTCCTAGTGTTTTGAGGACTCTCCAAACTGATTTCCACAGTGGTTACATCAATCTGTATTCCCACCAACAGTGAGAAGGGGTCCTTTTTCTCTACAACCCCACCTGCATTTGGTATTGGTTGATTTCTTGATGACAGCCATTCTTGTGAAGTGAGATGGAATCTCAGTGTTGTTTTAATTTGTGTCTCTGAATGCACAATGTCCACAAAGCATCTTTAAGGTCACCTGGGACAAGTGCCAGAAAGAGTGATTTTAAACTTTTTTCCTCATTTCCCTCTGAGTTTTCCAAGTATTAGTGAAGTCTCTCCCCCAACTCCAAGGGCAGTGAACTCTACCTTTGAAATACTTGCCACTCCTCTGTGGTCCTCCACTCTGTGATAGGCAGTGGGTTGAACCCCCGTCCCCCTATCAGGAACAGAAAAGACGAAATGTCATACTAAGAAGAGCAGGTGCAGTCCACCAAAGAGATATACTACATTGGCAACGGTTATTTTTTAGACATGAACTTGTGTTAATGATAAGACATATTTGGATCTGTTTTAAAATGTGAATAAAAATTACCTATAGAATTTATTGCTCAGGAAGTGAGGCCGTGAATTTGAGTTTTGTCTGCTAATATATTTTACTCTCTTAATATACACCCAAGGCAGAATTTTTCTCACTGTATAAATTTCAAATTAAAATTTCCATGATATCAAAATGAGCTCTATTGTTAATCTATGAAGTTACTTTATTAATTTTGGGTTAACAGCATTGTGAACAAGTTTGTCTGCACAAGCAACAGACAATATTTAAGAGACAGAAATCTACAAAGGCATAAATCCTAAACCTCTGTCATTTGCTAGAGACACAAAAACCCAGCATTTCAAGTCTTAGATGTTTTAAGGCAATATCAGAACATAAATTTTATTTCCAAAATACCATTAACTTGGTAAATATGCAGGTATATATGTATATGTATATGTATATCTGTGCATACACACATATGGGTGTGCACGCACACATGTTCCTACATACACACTACCTGGCCATTAAGGAAACCCTGAGAAAGAGCCCTAGAATCTAAGGTCTCAGTATGGTTTTCATACAGTTATTCTGTAAGACAAAAATGATGGATGCTTGCTGGGGGCCAGGTACTGTTCCGAATTAACAAATCAGAAAGAAATCCCTACTTTTGGAGTCTCCTTGCTCTTAAATTAAATTTGTAGGCAAATGACTACCATAGAGCCCAGAACATTCTGCCAAAAGATTTAAAATTTTCTCATGTATTACAGGAAATGAATGAAATATCAAGTATGCCACCGTTTTTTTCCTGAGGATGTCTGACCATGAAATGACTTGCTCAAAAATTTCCCCATTATGTACCTAAGCCACAGGCATAAAAGAAAAACATTCTACCTTTGTAGGACTTTCTTTAAATGCCCAACAAGAGTTTAAGTATTGATTTCTAATATCTATAAGAGACTTATATTCAAAAATTTTGTTTAAGCCACTCCAGATAAATTCAAGCCAGATGTAGTTGTTTATCTCACGCAGATCTGTCCTGGTCCTAAAAACTTGGATAATGGTCCCAAAAGAACTTTTTTTTTCTACCAGAGGAACTTATTAGTGATCTATTTTGCTCTCTCTCTTATCTCATGAACTGATTTATTTTGCATTCTCTTGCATAAAGCTTGCGCTGTATGCTTCTGTTGGACCTTACATTGAACAGTACCCCATAGATACCCATCTCTACACGGCCTGCTATTCCCTAGCAAGTTCAAGGCCACAGTTTAAATTCTGTGTTCATCTAATCTTAATGATAATAATTTTCTCTCTACTCCATGTGAAGTTTTGCTGGCTGCACGGGCATGAGGGATACTGACTGTGGGGCCAAACCATTTACTCAGGAGATGTTGATAGTGCTTCAGTTCTCTTTCCTCCCCATCAGGACTCACAGAGCTCATCAGAGCATCTGCACTTCCTGGGCCTTGATTGCTGAGGAATTCTGAAGAATACAACCTGACTATATAAGGCACGAGGAGGGGAAGAGATAGGTCTTCCTAGCTGTTAGAAGCATTCATCAAAACAAGTATAAACAATTTATGTTACCTATTTTTAGCTTTTCATCAGATG